TAAGTTTCTTCTGATGGTACCATTGAAAGAAATATTTCTCTCCGTATTGCCAAAGCGCGAGCAGCTCTTCCTGATCTCAGACAGCTGTGGCGTCGTCGTGACGTTTCGCTCTTTGTAAAGTATAGTGTCTACAGTGCTTGTGTTCGCGCGAGTCCTGGCCGATCCGGCGTTTGACAACGGTTGTCTGCGGAGGATGGCTCGTGTGTGATGGAAACGCCACATTTGCAACGTCGATATTAGACGTGTAGTCCTAGGTAATACGAACTTACCTCTCGGCAAGCTAATATCGCTGCACCAACCAAAGTGGCTAGGTCACGTCCTACGCATGCCACGGCGCGCTCTATTAACTCGCGCGGGGCTGCACTGAAAGAAATCACGCGGTGGCCAGCCAACCACATGGCCACGAAACCTCAAGGCGCTGACTTCCAGTCTAGTTGTTGTCGGTCCTGTACGTCTTCCGGGCTGGGGAGTCCGAGATGAAGAACATCGCTGGTTGGAAACTCGCGAACAATGGGTTTGCATGAGTTTATGCATTGATTCCACTGATCAACACCGTAATCACCAACCTGATAATAAAGGCAAAACAGCGTGTGAAAAACTAAATAATTCTCTATGAATTTTACATTTTGTGATCTTTGTACTTATTATACACATTCAGTCCATGGTTTCTCGATGTCTATTGTACAGATTACTGCTAATATGATATAATTGATCACCGTGCGTGCGCGCACTAGCGCATGATGGAAATCCAGACGTATTTGATATTGAACTGATGTGCGCCATTTTTACCTGACGGCAATTTCATCAATTTGGGTCTAGTTCATTGTGAAAATCGGTGGGCACCAGGTGACATGATGTGGACGTTTGCGTTGGAAAATGGAGAAGTTAACATAAAGATGGTGATCAACCCGTAGTTAAAATACCCATCATCATCAATACACGTTAGCCGAGGATGAGAAACTTACCTCAGCTAATGTGCCGCAGTACAAAAAAACGGGAGATTAAGCATTACAGACTATAAAAACTTAAAAGTAACATAGTACTAAATGCCATATTATGCAATGGGTTTGAGATCGTTGTTGTAGAGGGACAAAGAGACTCACAACACGAACGCCATGTCAGCTAGCGTATCCAACCAAACGTGTTCATCGTCCTTCGGACCCCAGCCGGGCAGTCGGGATACACCAACCGACGCTTGCTGGACGTGCATCGGCCTAGAAACGACCTCCAAGGCACCGTTCGGAGTCTGGCCGACGGTTCACCTGGCCTTTCATGTCACCAACAGCGATCACAATAGCAGCATCCTTCGCCATGCTACCGATAGAAGTGAACGCCTAACTGCAGTCCGTTGGGGCATACACCAGAATGATAAAAGGCACCTTGTCTTCGGATGATGCTCACTAACTCTGGCGGAGGTCCGAATCCGAACCACATACGTGCGGCAGTCCACTGAAATCCAGTCCAGTGCATTGCGCTCAACATGTCTGTTGAAGGTAACATTGACAACACAAATACCTCGAGCTGTCGATTTGGAATCAAATGGATATCACGACACTATTAGCCTGTATACGTTTTTCGGAGACAGCACACGCAATCTCAAGAGAATAAGGAGTTGAAGTTAAAGCTTTGTGTTGATGTACCTGTGTATAAAGTACGTCCGTTAAAGGAATCAACAACAAATGTGAACCTTGATATGAAGGACTAGTTAAATGCGTCGCCAGCATCAGCTTCGAAGTCAGCAAAAGTCTATTGTTCATTAACCGGTGGAAAAGCGAGTTGTAAGGAGAGAAAAACAATAGGAAAGAATAGAGGGTAGATGTTACTCTCCAATCGCCCATCCCGAGGTTTTTGTACAGAGCGCTATACCTCTAGCCTGACCTAAATATCATCGATGAATGTTGCGGATAAAACAGCTTAACATGTCGCACCGGATGGTTGGTGAGGCGTTTCAAAAACGACTATAGGCAATGAGATTGTCTAGCAGAATTTTAGCAGTCTAAATCGTTAACGTATGGTTTATATAGTCTGAAAGCTACCTGTCTTTGATTTTCCCTACAAAACGGGCCTAGGTTAATACAATTTGATTTTGTGAATGTGCGTATGTTTCATGTGTGTTATCTAATGTGGCGTAATGCGGCCAGTGCATTATCGGCACGATTTTGAACACAGCTGATGTGGGAGCTAACAGCTTCTGAGAGAAAATTCTGTGTGGCAAACACGCAGCAAGAAGAGATTGCCTATACTACAGCTAGTTGTATTCTGCCAATTTAAGGCGGTGGCTTGTCTGCTGAATTATCTGTGTTTTAGCAAATGACAGGACGGGTGATTTGGGTCCCTTAAAATCTGGTAAACAAAAGTCTACAATGCAAACGCCGATAGTATCCATTGAAAACTACCAGACTGCTCAGTCGCTGTTCATATGGCAAGTAACTTGTGTTGACCCGACATTGTGGGATCTCCAAGACAATTATATCCCACTTATGCCATGGCTACTATGCTTGAATCGAATGTTATGCGTGATAAGGTATGTAAGCAGAAATCATTTTGGAGAAAATAGATAGCCACACGTTTTGGTAACACTGTTTGGGTGCTATTTCAGATTGCTCCGAAAAAACAAGGTCTTACTGGATCAGCACATCGAAATACTTTTCCCGAGAACGATGCTGGAAATCTCGGTCGCCAAACCTATAGGTGTGAATCATTTTGTGTCAAGGATAGAGCACTCGACATTTAATTAGGTTAAACTAGAGATGAATTCGGTCTGACCATCCATAATTATTGTCGAGGTCGTTTCGAAGCTATACGCGGTCGTCTGGCACTTTGATGTCCTTGGCGTAAAGCAAGCAGTTTTAAGTGATCGTTAACTGAGATCGAGAGTAGACAGGGCCCCAAACCGAAACTTGACACAACCATTTCCACTTGGGTAGGATTTGATGTGGACTCACGTAGTTTCACCTCCAGACGCCTGTGTAAGAGGTTACTGATCCACAGTAGCGTGAGTGGAGGTAAGCTTGAGGAACCCCACCCAGTCCTTCTCCCATTAGTTTGATCGAGAGGAAAATGCAGATCACATTCAGCTTGTGAATGTGGCTACCGGGTCCCACTGGGATCTGCTTGAGATATGTTACATGTACCCTTTGAAGGACCTTAGAATTATTTGTAAGTAGTAGGGGGATTTATTAGGTTTTGTGTAGATTCATCGCAGTTAGACAGAGGCAGACAGTCATCACACATTCAGAAAAGCGCTAGACGGCCGTTTCGTCCAATTGGGACTCGTCAGTAGCGCGCGCCCGCCGAATCCTATCGGATTCGAACCCACGACCTTACTCTTGCGAGTCAGTGACTTATGTCACTGAGCCATGGGCGACGGCAGCGGACCGCCATGACTGATATCTAACTGCGATATAGCGCGGCTCATCCTCCACTGTCTTGCATGATATGAATGCGCAGAGGACAGGGCTGGCCCCCAGAGCAACGACTTCTTTTGCAAGCCGCCACCAATCGAGGTGCCATGTAAACTGCTAAGGCGACTACTGATTATTTGTAAGCAGTAGGGGGATTTATTAGGTTTGTGTAGATTCATCGCAGTTAGAGGCAGACAGTCACCACACATCCAGGAAAGCGCCAGACGGCCGTTTCGTCAGTAGGGTTTCGTCAGTAAGGTCGTGGGTTCGAATCCGGCAGGATTCGGCGGGTGCGCGCTCCTCCAAAGAGGACAATTAGACTGGACTCTTCCAAAATCTAACCACTGAACTCTATTATGAGTGCCTCCGAAGGCGTATGGTATATGCCATTCAGCGTAGCCTGTGGAGTGACGTGCGCAGACCATTGCGCCCAGTTAGAATCCAATCTGCTTACGATGGGCAACAACAAGGTTATAAAACAAGTAGACGTTTACTAACAACCGCATCGGTTTTAATACACCGTGAGAACTTTTTTACCTAAACAAATCGAAAAATTGATAAGGTCACTTCAAGTGTCCGGAAAATGCGCAGAGTGCTATTGCCGAAGTTGAAGCAGTAGGCGTTCGTTTGTTTTTTGCTTGTAAAGGGATCACCGTTCCCATTTTTGAAATAAGCTGGCAGATTATACATATTTTCCAAGTCAAAATAAGTTTTATGAACCCTGATGGATTCATTTTCAACATGGATGATAACCTCAATATACATGCTTGGGGAGAAAAATGTGAAAAATGCACAACTGTTACTCCAACAGCCGTTCGCGCAGCATGTTAGTGACTTACCTTGGGTCAACAAGCAAACGTGAGAGATCAGGCAAAACAGTATTACGATACGATGACCTGCAGGAGAATGAAATTCTTTATTTCGAACGAGTAGAAGAGAGAGCGTTTTGGAAAGATCATTATGAAGTGGATGAAACCGATCAGTTAGTACCTTAGAAGAAAAATCATTGCAGGTATCAAGATGTCTAAAATTATCATATTAGCTAAATAGTCTCTAGACAAACCGCTGCAGCTAGAAATGTGCTTTATAGATCTCGCCAGTAAGATGTCTTTCTGAGGCAGTCAAGGGAAAATGACGGGAGAGCAGTATAACCAATGGGGAATAACGCAAAAGGTCACAAACCTGAATATTAAAGTACGAGGTACTGAAAGCACCTTAAGTCTGAGGGCTTAAAAAGAAAGCTTCCTGATTTTTTGAAAAGATTTACAGACGTGCGGGGACCAAGAAGGGTTCTGGGACAATTAGACACCGAGATACTTGACGGTGGAAGAGCTGGATATGGGATTTTCAATCACAGTAAGGGTGAGAGAGTAATCAATGATGAACTGCAACTTATCACCACGGAGAAAGGAAAATATTACATCACTGCATTTAGAAGCATTAAGCGTAAGAGATCTGGATGAAGACCATTCCACCAGATCTCCCAACCCACGTTGAAGTGGTGAGGAATCCTAGTTGGTGGGGGCCATACATTCCAGCACATCAGCATATTTACACCCTATAAACGTGGGTTGTATAGGGAGATGTTCAACATACATGAAAAACAGAAGTGATAGGATCGCTCCCTGCAGAACTCCACAGTCATCACGGCGGACAGAGGATTTCTTGTCGTGCAACTTGGTAAAGTGAGTACGATCCGTGAAATAGTCGCGTAACAGACTACACACACCCGGGTGAACTTCATTCCAAGATAGCAGGTTTAGCGACATTGACCTATCCAGGCTTCCAAAGGCATCCGAATAATCCAGGAAAAGAAGCCGTACTGATTTACATTTTTGATCTAATGCAGAGGCCATAGAATGAATAATATATGTCACTGCATCCAATGGTAGATATCATCCCCAGGAGCGGATGAGCAAATCTGCAGAATTAACAGTTTTTCGAAAACTTACAATCACAGATGTACATGCAATTGGGCGATACTTTTGAGATTCACTTTTTGGTACTGGAGTTATAGTGGCCGTTCTCCAAATGTCCGGGACCACCTGTAGTGAGGCATTTGTTAAAGAGCTCTATTAAAGGAAGTGGTGAGACGGCATCTGGACCACCAACTTTGTTTACCTTTATTCCTTTGAGTTCTTTGTGAACGTTGCTTTGATCGAAGGGTGCAGCGGCACTTGGGCTAATGAAGGAAGGCAAGGTGAGCTTGATGAGGCGGAACTAAACTCAGAATGCAGTTTATCCACATCCACTTCACTGCTCTGGCTTCAAACGCACAACAGAGCTGCCTCAGAAGCCTCCATAGATCGCGACAGTTACGGTTGCCTAGAACTGCTTAGCCTTTTTATCTCAGATTTAATTGCTATGGTTAGGCTTTTGACACGGATAGCATTCTTGCACTTGTAAGCCCATTCTTTCATCCTTCGAAGCCGCTTTAGTAGTGGTCGTCGTCGTGGGGAATCGTATAAGTAATCACAGACGGCAAGCCTTAGAGAAGACAAAATTCACTGCACCGAGTGGTGACCTTGGTCTCTAGCTTCCAGCAACTGAGCACGGGGTACTCTGCGCCTTATACCTTTGCTACATTCATTGACATCGAACGAGTTGCGCAAAAAATGATTGCGATTAAAGAAAACATGTATTTCAGCCTGTACAGTGATCATACATGGATAAAAAACCGTTAGGCTTATCACATCTTCTTGATGTGTTTTTTGATCAACGCAAGGCGCTGTTTGTGGGCTTCAGACATTGCTGACTGCTTCGAAGAACAGTCCTCTGGCATGTAACCGGGAATATGGATATCCCATTCGTGATCTAGAGGAGCAAACCCAGATAGAGAGGTTCAACACATCTACTGTTTGTAAGGCGATTAGTCACATTTGGCAGCAAACAACCAAAAAACATCTCATAAAGTGTGTGGTTTGAGAGCACGCGCTTAAAGGTGCCTTTCAATTGCTGACCCAGCAAAAACGTGTCGCATATTAAACATTTTCGGCAATTCAACAATGATCCGTCTTGTTTCGGCTAAATAGCTGCTGTTTGCAGTAAACGCTTCCGTTTGAAGTTCATCTTTCTCAACAAGGGTAAATGAGGAATTGCAGTGTCATGTTTAGAAAATCAATTACGGGACAAGCATACATTCACGCTTCGTGCATGAAACAAAACGTGTGTATCATCTGTCCTGTTTAGTTGAACACACTATCTGCTTCGCGATAAAAAAAGATGTATTGCGCTGAGGACCTCTTATATTGAGCAAGAATGTCGATCTAGCCACATGTATGCTGCAATAACTGACAGATCCCGCCCAAATATCATCAACATTGTCAACTTTGTTCATGGTGGTTATAGATGTGTAGTGACTATGCAGACCAGATCGGAGGAAATGCCTTATCTCAACTGAAATGTGAAAGGTTTTTCTCAGTCATCATAATTGTAATTATCTTGCTAACAAATTAATCACATATACTGAATTTGAAGTGCAAGCGAGGTGTAGGTTGTTATTGTTGCTCGTCGTTCCCATTCATGTGCACACAACAATGAACTCACCTAAACAGAAGTGGACATCCTTCGCTTCCACAACAGAGGATGATCGATGATTGGCAAGTTTCTGTGCCTTGGATGCAACAGATGTCACGAACTCATTAGCCAAATTGACCAGAACCTGAACGGGTTGTTAGAAAAGATGGACAAATTATGTCATAGGGGATTAGTCACAACTAGCTGAAGCCATTCTTGGACCAGGGCATTCGCTACCTCTTCGCGTGTTAAGCTGATAATTCAGAGGCGTGTGCGCAACAAAGTTGGACAGTGGTTTCAAGTGACTTTTTACGTTCAAGCCAACTGGCCGCTTGATTTTTCGAATGCTGTGGTGTTGGATTTTGCTGTTTGCGCAAACGAGCAATGTGTCTAGCTACTAACTTAAGAGACGTATTCTGACGGAAAATTGGGCGTTAAGTGCACGCCCAAAAGTGTGTCCGCGGTCGACTAGACTGCCATCTAACAGGCCAACAGGATAACAATCAGTGTCGTGCCAGCGGAACGGGAAGCGACGAGAGCAAAACATTGGTGATACTAAACAAGACGTAGACTAGCACATTCCAATAAATGGCATTCAGTCCGAAACTTACCTCCTTCGCTTCTGGATCAAGCTGCAGTTGGGGGTCCAAATCTTTCAACATATGAGCTAAAGAAAGTGGAGTAAACACAGATAGCCCACATGTGACCGTGTCCTCTCCTGTAGAGTGTGTACCGGGTTTGTCGTCCACGGGGAAGGTGGCTGTCGTTGTAGGGTGGGTCTCCGAAGCCACCTCAGACTGACTGCGGAAAAGTGTAGTAGGCGTGGGGTCACCGGACATATGATTATCTGTATTCTGTTGCACGGTCACAGTCGCGTTCGCTGAGTGGATGCCATCGGCCTTTGGATGCGAAAACTCGCCGAAGTTAGTGATTGGCTGTGTACCATCCGAACTGAAAACGGTGATTCCACTGCCACCATTGGATCCGGGAACGTCCGAAGTCAGTTCCGACAGAAAGGATCGCGGTTGCTGTTGTTGAGAAGGAACGTAATTGGAAACGAGCGGGGCTGGTGGTTGAATAGTGTTGGTATCTGAGTGCGGACTTACACTGAGCATTCCCATAGTTGATTGATCACAAATGACTGGCGTGCCAGGGAGCAAAGATTGCAGATTATTATTGTTAAAACTGGAGTGGCCCATAGGAGACTGCTCTAAGAACTGAGTGGTTGGATCGGACTGTGTGGGCAAAGGAACTGTACTAGCGTAGGAATTGGGGACTGCGACGGGTGCAACGCTAGCCGGCGAATTCGGAAGCATACCAGTTGGTAAAGCGACCGAAATTGGTCCGCTTACTCCACGAATCATCGCAACATTCGAACTCGCCAAATGGTGCGTCGGCAATGGAGTAGAGAGGGGCGGAGGGGTCGGAGTTGATAGGATAATCGGGCTACCGACTTGTGACGTCTGCATAGGCGGTTTTGGGAGTGGAGATGATACAGGTAGTGGGACCACCTGGTTACTGGCTGTGGTGACTAGGCTTGCCATTAAAATTGCTTGGCCAGACGGAAATGTGACTATATTAGGATGGCATCGAGGAGCACCTATGCCTGAAACACTGATTGCCCCACCGGGTCCGGGTGTCCAAACTTGCAAATTCTGATGAGGCACTGAAGCTGCTTGCCCAGGTGGAATGCCTGGAGCAGGGCCCACTTGTTGAGATATACCTTGTCCAGACTGAATCATAAGTGATCCAGGGGGTAGAAGGGGTGTGTTTGGCTGGGCCTTCATACTCTTGTAGTGAAGAGAGAAGTTTCTTAATGAACTAAAAATAAGAAGTATAGATCAGTAAACGGTTAGATATGTAGTTTCATGATGAAATAAGTAGGCAACAGTGAAATACATGGATCATCCATCTCATTTCAGTGCATCATCATCATCATTACATGTTAGCTGGAGGTGGAAAACACCTTAGCTATTGTGCCGCAATACAAAAGGCAAGAAAAGAAAAACAAACACTGGCACGCCCGCTGAGTTCCCAGTAACGGATGGACATCGTTCCGGAGAGCTAACAGCTGGCTGCCGTAAAAGAAAGTCACATTATGCTTAACGATTGAGATCGTGATTGGAGGGGGATGCTAAACAGGAAGGGGATGGACAAAGGAACTCACAACACAAACGCCATTGGGGCCGGCTCCTAGCCATATCAGCAAGTGTGTCCAACCAAACGTGTTCACCGTCCTTAGGACTCCAGCCAGGCAGTCGGGATGCACCAACCGACGCCAACTTCGAAATGAGGGTTTTCATTCCTCTCGACCAAGTCATCACTTGGCCTCCCCTCTTCCTCTTCCAACCGCACCCACAACGCGCAAACAATGCACGTCGCGGGAGTCGGTGTGCTGGCATGCGCAACACGTGGCCCAGCCATCGGAGCCTGGTGCGTGATATAATGGTGCTGAGCGGTTCACTCGCTCTTCCTGCACCAAATACGCGACGTCGAACACGCTCATTGCTCACGCGGTGTTCCCACCAGACATGAGCTAAGCTGCGAAGGCAGCGATGATCGAATGTGACGAGCCACTTCATGTCTGTCGACCTGATGGGCCAGGTTTCACAACCATATAGCAGAGTTGAACGGACGGCTGCGTTGTAAACTCTGCCCTTCAGGGCGAGAATAATGTCGCGTCTGCGCCACAGGTGGCGGAGATTGGCAAAAGCACCTCGAGCTTTTGCTATACGGTTCGTAACATCTTCAATCCCACGGGTGCTAATATAGCTGCCCAGGTACTTGAATTCCTGAACGACTTCTAGCAGATAACCACCAAGCGTTAGCGCAGGGGTGGGTCCCTGCCAATCTTGGAGAAGCACTTTGCATTTCGATGGAGCAAAGCATAGCCCAAAACGATTGACAGCCAGTGCTAATCGCTCCAGTGCTGTTTGGCATGTTTGGGAGCTGTTACAGATTAGGGCAATATCGTCCACATACTCCAAGTCAAGAAGTCGCTCACAAGGAAGTAGCTCCACACCTCCTAGGTCGTGTCCAGCGAACGCTGTTTCTATGACTTCATCAATAGCGAAGTTGAAGAGGAAAGGTGACAGCGGGCATCCTTGTCTCACACCGCTGGTGATACTGAAGGATGGCGAGAGTTTGCCATAAACCCTCACCCTGCCCGAACTATGTGCGTACAGCGCTTTTATAATGTTTACATATTTATCAGGCACACCTTTCCTCAGCAGACAGTCCCAAAGGGCACATCGATCGACTGGTTGGTTAAATTGCATAGCAAAGTGTTCAGCCCAACGCTCCAAGCGTTTTGACAGGCTGTGGATCGGCTGCCCACTCTCGTCGCGTATGGTCTCGCTAACACCAGGTCTCCTGCTGCCCGTTTCCCGTATCAGACGGTATAACTTACGATGATTACCAATGGCAGCGGCTGTTTCCATCTCAGAGGCACGATGAGACCACCAGGTTCCGCGGTCCTTCTTTAGGCTAGCACGTAGTTTTGCCCTGAGATTTTTGCGAGCTTCATTGTATTCGCTTCCAGCCGGAATACGTCGGCGAGCATCCATAAGTTCCAGAGACTGTGTAGAGACCCAATGTCCGGTTTGGCAATTTGCTTTGCCACATGAAGACATGCCTGCTAATAGCAACGCTTGACGAGTATGCGATCTTCAACAGTGTTTAGTGGGCGCTTACTCAGCCCAGATGTCAGCGCATCTTGGTACACATTCAGAACATCTGGCTTCGCCAGCTGGCTGGTGTCAATCCGTTCACATCGACGTCGCGGACGTCCACCGAAACGCACCAGGAGATCGGCACAGACAAGTGCGTGGTCAGAGTCCACGCTCGTGCTCCAAATCGAGCGACAGTTTCGGACACAGCCTCTCCAGTGGTAACTGATCGCGATATGATCGATTTGCGTCCATGACTGGCCCGAGGCTGGTGGCCGCCAAGTCACACTTCTGCGGGTGCTGTGTCGAAAGCTAGTGCTCGCGAGAAAGAGGCGAGCGATGGTTTGAGTGCCTCAGACGTCCATTGAGCTATGCTGGGTGGTGCTTTTTTTGCACCTCCAGAGCCACTCATACCAGATTGGTCAATGGTTAGAGGCCAAACAAACTCAGCCTCCCGGTCCTCCAGGTTGGGGGTTGGAATCGGGGTTGCTCCTCATTCCATAAAACGGGCTCTCTGTAATCCAGTGCCAAAACCCGCTGCCTTGCGGTAAGGTTTTTTAACGAAAGGCTTTGGTTGAGAACCCTAATCGTTCTCCTGTCCGCGCCCGATGTGGCGCGGTCGCGTCGATTATCAAAACGACGCATTTCGTTGCAAATCCGCTCCTGCACACTTCGCCCCTAAGCAAACATTTCAGCTGTTAGCAAAATTTTCTTCTTGAAAGCCAAAACCAAAGCAATTCGGCTAATGGGTCTCCTTCTGCCCCGATCTTCATTTAAATTGGCAGCCGTCAGGGTAAAAACTCTATGCAGATTGGAAAACGTGCTGAAATAGCGAATATCATGAAGTCCCTTACACCAATGTTTACTGCCTTTTTCGTCTCCAGCACTATGTTTACGAGGATATCCAATACTGATCACAAAATTGTACATTTACTGCGTCAGTCTGGTGACACAGAAACGGCTGTAACCAAATTATCTGGTGTTGGCATCGCACTGAGTGACAAAGTCGGCGTCGCGCCGCCTGAGTAGTTCATATTTGATAGCTTACCATGGGCATTACAACTTCAGGGCTCATGTAAGATCAGCGGGTATCGTGGAAAGAGAGGCAATCTGTAGGTGATCACCTACGCTACAGCCGGCTACAGTGAATCACGGGTTAAAAACGAATTTTACAGAAGACCACAATCTTTTGAGTAAATCCAGAGAATCATTATCGTTTCCTGCTTTGGGGAAAGCAATGCAAGTGCGGGCCGTCTGAAGCTATGCGAAGAAAAACTCAGCAAAACGTCGGCACAATGTACCGACGCTTTGAGTAGGGGATTTTGACGTAAGTAATTAGGAGTTCGTCGTAGCAGGTCACAAATCGGATACTCGTCCTCATGCCCGGAAAACAACTAGAGTGCAGTTACGACCGAATCGATCAGGCGGCTTGCACCGTCAGTCAGCAGCTCATGCCACTGGGCACAGCGTCAGACTATCATGATTTACAAGCCGTGATATAGAGTCTTATCCTTCACTGCCATTCAAGTTACGAGCGTTGTAGAGAACAGCATTATCCCTGGGAGACACGACGTTCATTGACAGTAGCTATGTGCGGGAAAAGCAGGCAACTTTTTGTTTAGTTTTCCACCCAATTTTCATGGTTTGTTTTCCAAGGGCGAGAAGGTGATTCAGCATAACACAGAGATAAATGTCCACAAATGACATGGGCCTTAAGCCATCACTTACAGGGTCTCCAACTAGCGACACTCCATATCTCTGAAATATCAACCAACGAGTCGAGAACAAGCGACCGAGGACAATTATTTCGTCAGCTTTTTCATGCCGCTTTTCCAAGTTGTAGGCTGTTCCCCGCGCCGCTCTTCCAGTCCAGCCCAGCAACCACGAACAACGTCTGGGAATGCACAACACGTGTCCAAGCCACCGCAGCTGACGCAGCGGGACGAGTTCCTCGAGAGAGTGGCTGCCTCCACCTAAGACACGCCGTCTAACTTCCACTTTGGCTAAGTGGTGCAGCCACCCCACACGGGCAATGGACCGCAAGCAACGGTGCTCGAAGGTAGACAGCCGGCGCAGGTCAACGGTACGAATAGGCTGTCTCGCAACCGTACAACAGTACAGTGCGAACAGAACCACAATAATCCCTTTTGATGGATAGACGGATGTCATGTCAGCGCCACAAGTACATCAGGCCAGAGAAAGTGAGACGAACGCCTAGGACACACATCGAAATCTCGTCTCCGATAGCTCCACCGGAATTGATGCAGCATCCCAGATAAGCAAGGCTCTCCATAACCTCCAATACTTTACCATCAAGTGAGTGCAGGTACAGGCACCTGGAAGCTTTGAAAAAGAGCTTTGCACTTGGGTGGGGTGAAAAGCCAGCCCATACCTTGACGCTTAAATCGCCAAGCGGTCAAGTGTAAGTTGGACGGCTACTGGACCGTCATCCACTGTATCCGCAGTGATAGTGTAAATGCTGATAATGCACCCATTCAGGTGTATAAAGCCTATGTTTGACTTGACTTTACCCAGAGTATTTTAAGTCAGCAACTTGGCTACCTGGGAGGAGCTCAAAGCCACCTCACAAACAATCTTCCAGAGCCTTTTGGAAAAATCCCTAATGGCAGGACTGAAGGGGAATGAACAAAGGAAGGCAAAGCTTGCCATAAAACCTAACTTTACCAGAAGTCAGATTGTACATAGCACGCAGTATAAAAGCGAAGTTCCCGTGGAAGCCATTCCTCTACAAACAGTGCCACAGTGCAGTCCTGTCAATAGAATCAAAGGCAGCACGGATATCCGGGAACATAACACATAGCTGAGTGTGAAAATTTGATCAATGCAGTCGCGACCAGGACGGAACCCAGCCTGTCCTTCCGGCTGTAGTATGACAAACACTAGAACGTTGCAAACGATGGGAACCAAGCTGATACCCCTGTAGTTGGAGCACACAGTGTGCAGGCTTTTTTGGAGATGGGGATGAGCACCGACTCACCGTTGGACGACGGAGCCTTCTCTCTTGACCAGACTTTTGAGAACAAAACAGTGGAGTTCTCGAACCATGGAATAGTCACCATCTTTAAATAGGGCGGGAGTTAAGCGATTAGGGTCGGGGGGCTATATGGCGCTGCAAAGGCCGGAGTTCATGCAAGATTTTCTGGTGATAGAGAAGATTTGTAGAGATAGACCAATCAGCACCAAGGAGCGCTTTGGGGAAGTAGATGGGGCTGGTAGCCAGCAAAACGACGAGCCAAGATGTTCAGCCCACCGTTCCAAGTGCCGGTGAAGATTGGTGATCAGTAAGCCATCCTCTTCACAGATGGTTTCGTATACACCAGATCGAAAACGTTTGGTGACTCAGATAAGATGGAAAAATTTTCTGCTAATATCAGAGAGACTAGGGAGTTCCGTCACTCCAGTATTTTCACGCTACCAGTCTTCATAGTCCTTTTGCAGATTGCGCAATTCGCAACCCAGGGATCGGCATTCTTCACTACAGCTGGCGTCGGTGCTAGATTGCTCACAAGACAAACCCAAAGGACGGTCGGATAGTACAAGAACGAATAAACGTCGTGTATATGATAAACTGCAATGCAATGTGAAACGAAAAAGAGAAATTGCAATAATTGTGAAAGGAACTATGTAGGACAAAGAGAAAGGAAACTGTTGTGGTGCCGCTGTTTGTACGGTTCACCTGCTGTTACCGTGCAGCTGAAAGTTGCCAGAAATGTGTTGTGCTTTCCGCAGACTTTACGGATAACCTGCCTGAATCTGTTTTGCCGCCCCCAACCAGTTCAACCCGCCACAAAATGAGAACATCAAGACCAGCCGGTTCAGAGATCCGGATTCGGATTGTATGAGAGCATGGTCCAATGAATAGATTGCAGGAAACCACTAGCACAACGAAATTGATGTTAATTGATATTAAGTAACTAAACACAAACGGTTCGAATTCATGGTCCGACTTGCCGTTGATTGCTCATAGAATCGCATTTTGATCTATATTCGTGTTCGATCTTTAATTGTGGATCGATACACTGAACACTGACTCTCCGTAACAGAAACTATCCATAAGCATATAACATCAGAGGATTTGTAAAAAAACATCGCGCATCGTCTCTTGTCTCAGCGCATGTGGATGAAGAGGGACATAGCTATTACTGGGACAAAACGTAGATTCTAGCTCAAGCAGCAACCCCGAAAGGAAGAGAATTCCCAGGAGCATGGTGCTCCTCTAATAATTCGACCAATATGCGCATCGACATCGATCTCGTGTACCAACAGCATAAGTAGAAAGATCTCCGGCGAACAGAACGAGATGATTCAGCCGCGGAAGTAAATGGGCAAAGAGCTTGATGTGCAAATCGAAATCGCCACTTTAAAATGTCACTTGCCCGTCGATCACGGACGGACGATTCAATAAGCAGGATTGTATCCTGCAAATCGACACACTGACGATCTTACCTCCACATGGTGGCGAAACGTATGCTTAGAGAATCGATTAACAGGTGAACACCAGAACTGTCAATGTTGGCAGTCAAATTTGATGCATGTCCATTGTGAATTTATATCATAGAAGCTGAGGTAAGCAGTGTTGATAGAGAAATTTGGTACTTGGCTAACGTCGTAGAGTCTTGTATGTTTCCGACGTTCGGTGATCAATGCGTACGCCTGGGCGATCGTCTAAACGCACGCAAACCTTAGCACGAACTATTGCGTGATCGGAGTGCAAGCAAGTTGACGAGTAAGCTCCCGCGTCATCTGTAGCTTATCGCTATGTGGTCAAGGTGGAACTACTCTTGCGTTTAAGAAGACGGACGCTAAGTAGCAGTCTGTCTCTTTGAGTGTAGAAAAAGGGTGCTCGAAAGAAACAAGCAAAGACAAGAACAAAGCGTCAGCAGTCTGTTTCTACTGTCTGACTGCTATTGAGGTCAAAACTATCTCCAAGGTTGTGCTAGCTTTATGGCAGGCGGCCCACTCGGGCGTTAGAATCTTCCGCGCTTTGAAAAGGAAAATAGATTCCTCACGTTTTCGACCATGCCTGATATGGTGAGGCTCGGTGAATTCGCGAAAAAACCCTTTAACCACTTATTTAAAGGCAATTGTGTGTTTTTCACCAAAACCACTACTTGGTGTCCCTTTCCGCCAGTAAGTGTGACTACAGACCGGTTGCACTGGGATCAGCATCAGGTGGCGGGACAGCATACGGGATTATAGATCGATTGGACCTACCCACTTCGAATCTGATCACGCGCTGGCCCGTGCGAACAGTTGTAGGTGCTTCGGCATCAGGAGTAAGCCAGCACGTCACACTGTTGCTGCGCGACCACCACTAGTCGCGTGTGGACTAGGGATACTGCGAGGCCGTCCGTAGATTCGACCCGGAGATCTGAGCATTACAAGACAGAAGTTTTGGTCTTTCGATCACCAGCCGATTCATGCATTCAGTCGCACCATCAATCCTCAGTGTCAAACCAAGGCGGTACCACTCGATGATGTCAAATCGATTGGTGACGAAACGGTTGCAACAAAATTGCCAAGCTCAGCAAACAGTTCAATCGCTATTAACACATAGATCTTCGCATCCCTTCCTCTGACTCTCTTCTTCCTTTCTGTTGCTGTTACTCATGGTTTGTGGCACTCTGCCAAATGTTTATTGGGCAAGCGTTATGTATATGTATATGGTTGGCGGCATCCGTATTCGGATTTGACTGTCACTGTGGCCTCCACGGGGACAGCCACGGCACCTACAAAGGGACCATGGATGGCTTGCACTGCACCACCCACAGCTCTAACCACACACACCATATCCAGTGTAAACCCGAAAGAATATAACTGCGAGGCATGCGTAAGAGAGCCATGTTTCATCAACGGAGCCGGCTCACACTCCTTCACAGGTAAACACAAGCACGTTGTAGTTGAGGATTCAAGCGCACACAAGGCGGTGGCTAGACCGTAGTCCGCTCCACACTGACTGCATGTCACCACTCTTCGAGCCTAGCACGGTCACGAGGACCGTGCACCCCGTCCCCTCTAGCAACAACCAACTGTCTTCTGGAGCCAGTATAGTCGAGGTAGTGGGTAATAGACACCTTGTCAACATGCACGCCAAGCGCAGCCACACAGGGGATGTCAAGTAACAGCCAACCACATGAAATGAAATGTCGAATAAAATAAATCGAATACACCGTACAGATATGGCGCAAAATTAGCATATGAAATAAATGGATTATCAAAATAGCCATGATAGACTAGGGTTAGCAGAAAAAGGGATCAAGGCAATTAGTTTAAGCGAAATGTGCCATTTAATAGATTATACAGGTACACATTAAAATGAGGTAACAAAATAGTAGTAAGAAAAGGTAGCAGCAAACCCACTACCTGAAATAAGGAAACTTGACACGCAAGAACACCGTTAGGAAATAGACTGCAGCGTACCCACAACGCTGCGCCGGTCCTGCTTACGTCCTCAGCAGAACTCGCCGTCGTTTCGATGCTGGTCCCGAGTGGCCTCGCTCATGGCTCACTAGGTCTGCCTGACTAAAGCATTTGCGACCGTACGTGCTACAGCATTATGCGCTCGACGTCGATGGAGTACAATCCATCGGCGCCTATCGCTTCCGAAACGGCCGTTTCTTTTCTGCATGCCCGAGGGTTTCTTTTGCACCCCGGCAACTGCCATCGTGATCAGCTCGCGCCATGCACGCCGATCAACCGCCTTCGATCCCCATGACCTGCAATCAAGATTAGAAAGTGCTAGGCTCATTTTAGCATGTCCTGGTAACGTAACTTCGGTTTTCCCAAGTATCGTTTCCCTGCACTCAGTTGGCCATAAAGCAGCTTCTCCGGTATCCAGGTCGAATCCATACGGCGAATATATCCGAGCCACCTTAGGAGAACGATGCAGCCCACTGCATACATGCCACTGCGTCCGAGTACGTTCGTGTCTGCAACTCGGTCACTCCAGCCGATGTACATAATACGGCGCAGACACTGCAGAGAGCGGACATGCTTCCGATAAAGCGTCTAGGTTTCGCTGCCGTATAGAAGAATGGACAGCACTATAGACATGCATATCAGCAGCTTCATCCAAACGGTGAGCTTGTGGTTGTTCCACACACGGCATTCCAGCTTGACGAAAGCATTAGCCGCCTTCAATACGCAGGTGCACAGCTCGCAAGTCATCTGTTGGTCTGTTGTTATTCCGCTACCAAGGTAGCAAAATCTCGAAGTGGTTTTCAACACTTCGTCGGCAAGCTGGATTTGGAGTAGGCCCACGCAGTTCATTCCTTTGGGAAAGCTGAAAAAGACTGACAGTTTTGCTTCTGTTAATGGTGAGCCCGAATTTGGCCGCTGTCGAAGCCAGAGCACTACTCTTGTGCTGCAACTCATCCGCGCTGCGTGCAAACAACGCAGTCGTCAGTACACATACCGATAGTTGTCTCACAAACTAGGGTTCTCGCACCGAAACGACGGACGTTCAGCAATCCACCATCAATACGGTGCTCCACACGAACACCGTAAGCACAAGCAGTAGCAAAAGCACAAGACATCATAACATGAAGATAAATATTAAACATGGGAGGAGCTAAGACACAGCCATGCTTCACACCAGAGATAACTGCGAAGTCATCCGAGGTCTGTCCACTCAGTTTCACACTCGCCCTCATACCACTGTGCAGACATTCAATTACACTTACAAACTTACTCGGACTACCAAACTTACCCAACACCAGCCACAATGCCTCGCGGTTCACCGTATCAAATGTCTTGGTGAAATCAACAAGCAGCGAGTACAAAGGCTGGTGTGGTTCTCTGCACTTCTCCTGAAACTGACGAGCCGCAAACACCATATCTATAGTGCTGCGACCCGAACGGAATCTACACTGCTCTTCCGCCACATTCGGTTCCACAACCTGACTGACGAGGCGGTTGAGCAGGATTCGGGCAATCACCTTGCCCACACAACTCAGCAAGTTGATGCCACGATAATTCGTGCAACATTGCTTGCTCCCTTTGCCCTTGTACAGTGGTAGCACAAGGGCATTCTTCATTTCAGGAGGCATCTCCTCCTCAACCCACATGTGTTGCACCAAGTGGTGCAGCTCAGTCACCAGCGCCGGTCCGCCGTGTTTAAATACTTCAGGCGAGATCTCGTCGGAACCGGCACACTTGCCGTTACACAGCTGAGCAAGTGCTCTCTGTGTCTCATCTACTGTTGGTAGGCCAGCCAAACTCACCACCTCGTGCTGCTTGGGGCCGTTCAAAGTAGGCGAGTCAATCTTTGAACGATTGTTCAAGAGACAGTCAAAGTGTTTTCGCCAGAGCCGCATTATGTCCGCAGTCTGTGTGCACGCAGCGCCTGAACTGCCATCGGTTAGTGTCGTCAGTGGCTCCAACCTCAGTCCATAAACCGCCTTCAAGGAGTCAAAGAATTCCTTGTGTTGGTGGCGTTCGGCGTAGCATTCCATCTGCTTCGCCTTCTCCGTCTACTACGCATTTTTAATGCGACGGTGTTCTCGGGTCAGTCGTCGAATTCCGCTAAACTTACTCTTCTTCCCCAAGTCACAGGGGTCTGCCACAAATGCTGCATTCTTCTTCGACAAAAATGCGCCAATCGTCGCATTGTTCTCATCAAACCAATCGGGCCGTTGATAGTTTGCGCGCCCGACGGTCTCCTTGGCAGCAGCTGTCACCTGGTCGCGAATGTGGTGCTACAAACCGCCCACTGTGGCTCTGCATTCCACATCACACAGATATGCAGCCATCGCCTTCTCCAGCTGAATACGTTTCGCTACTAGAAGACTAATCCGTCTCACACACGCATATCCATGACTTCAACCCGACTGCAGATGTGTACCGGTGGGCATTGCAACGTGACATTTCC